AGGAATGGCTCTTTCTCCAGGTGTAGATTATGAGTATGGATACTTTTCACATCTAATTTCTTCCAGCACCATCTAAAGATAAAACTTCCTATTTCTGTATTGTAAGAAGAGAAAAAAAGAACTTTTGCTCTTTCATGTTAAGTTTTTCTTTCTTCATTGCCCAAAATACAGATAATTTTTTTTTTTTTTTTTTTTTTTTGTCACTTTGGTTTTGGCAACTCACTTCTAACTTCCTTATTATAAAATCTTAGTGGAAACAGCACAGGTCAGTTGTGTTTTGGTTTGTTTTGGTTTTTTTTTTCCTTTCTTGTCTGCAAGGGAGGTAGGTGTATATCATGTTTTACACCTGCTCGTGCTTGATCTGTTAGGCCAATAGCGATGGCTGAAGTCACAGAGCCTGTCTCCTCTGGGATTTAATAAAACAGCTAGTATATGCAGTATCTAATTGCAGTTAGGTAAAACTATTTAACTGCTGCTGTTTACTTTTTTTTGGCAGCTGTGGTGGGCTGACCTTGGCCAGACCCCTCTACCCAGCTGCTCTTTCACTCCCTTCCTCAACAGCACAAGGGGAGAAAACAAGACAAAAAAGCTCACGGCTTGAGGCACAGACAGAGAGAGAACTTCTCTAGGAAATCACAATTACTGACCTTCATGGGCAAAACTTGCCTTGGGGAAAAATTAAGTTAATTCCCTTCCCCACCACCCTGAGCAAAGGGGGATGGGGAGCTGGGCTGCAGTCGGTCCATAGTGCCTGGTCTCTGCTGCTCCTTCCTCCTCACTTTCTTCCCCTGCTCCAGCCTGGAGAGCGGTTGTGAATAGTTAGCTCTAACAGTTACTGTAAATTTTCATTGAAAATATCAAATAGGTAGTTGATCTTAGGGAATGATAAGTTCGTGAGCACTTACCTCACTTATGCTTCGCCATTTCTGCCAAGTCTAAAAATATCTTGCCATCCAGCTTGTGATCTTGCCTGTCCTCTTGTTATTCCTCTGTTTTAACATTAAATATCTGGGTAAGTGTTCCCTGTTGCTTCAAGTGGTTTGCCGAGGGTTGTTTAGCACCTCTTGCTTTTGTACGGTGCTGATATCGCCACTAATAATAATCCAAGCTGTTGGTTAGCTCCACAAAGTGGCCACTTGGCTGCTTTGTCGTCCCTTTATTAAATACATCTATTAATTGAAAACTTTTGGCTTGGTAATAATGCAGTATTGCAGATTTGTTTCCTCTGTGTGTGATTTTTTTCATATGCAGTTATGCCTATGTTTTATCATTTTTACTTAACTAGAAATGCTGTTTGCCCATTTACATGGTCAGCTGAGTGTTACAGCAGCTGTATGCGAGAACAGGTCCGTTTTTGGGATCTCTGTATGCCAATATCGAAATGTACGCTGGAGTCTACTTTAAAGTCTTGTTTTTAATACTCACATACATTTTGACATTTATTTGGATAGCGTTATAAATTACTGTCTCATGTCAGCACAGTTCCTATGCATTGTAGTTAATTAATTATTTAAAAATTAAAGGAAAATCTGGCAGTGGTTTTATTTAATTCTTTTACTTCATGCCTAATGACACTTACAAAATATATACATTTGGTTTGGTATGTGAAGGAGCATTTGGTGCTAATTCTGTGAGCCCATATTTTCTTAGGGTTGCATCCCCACTGTGATCCTTCTTGCAGTGGGCACTGCTTTATAAAAAAGTAGTGTCTAGTATTAGCCGGTACCTTTCAAATTTGAAACTTTATAGCTCGTTCTCATCAACACTGTGCTACATCAAACTTAGCTGGACATCTAATTATAAATCTTTGTTTCAAAACCTGTTTTTTCTATAATTTCCATGATTCATGTTTATGTGGCCTCATTTGTTTTAATGGATTGCGCAGCAGCTTGTGCCCCATACATAATACTACAAAATACAGCTTTCAATGTTAAAGAAAATGCTTGTTTAAAAAAAAAAAAAAACCAAAACAAAACTGTAAAGAGAGTATCTAGGGCTAAAGTTTTGTATAAGGTTTTAAAGTTTTGACATAAGTTGATATAAGCATGTATAAATGGGGAAAAACCCACCACCTCTTTCAATCCTACTTTAGTACATAGTATTTCTTAACAAATAAAGAATGACGTTTATCCAAGAGGTGTAAGAAAATATTTTCTGTGTTTTTCAAAAATATAAATATGATGTAGAGTTTACTTCGGCATTGGCTTCTGTTTTTGTTGGAGTAGATAGACAACTGAGGAAGGAGTGAGGTTGTGTACATTCATGGGATACGGCCTCTTAAGTTGAAAAAGGGGGGTGAGGGGAAGTAGTTTGCAAGATGCTGAACAGATGCTTTGGCTTTGTGACAAATGGTTTATAAATGCTGTCTAAAGCATTTCATGAAATGCTGTAGGACTAACACATGTAGCTAGATGTATGCAAATTTACTGCTAAGTATTTTTAAATGATGAAAAATGAGGTTGAAAAAATAGAGCACTATAAAATGTATTGATGTGCAGAAAAAGGTATGTTGGAGCTTCCAAAGGCTGCAGCAGATTATCTTAGTATGGGAACAGGATCTTGAAATACATCTAGTTTATTTCTTATAATTTTATTGTGTTTTTCTTTCCTCCCCGATGTTTTTATCTTGAGATAAGTTGAGAGAAATGACTTTTCAAAAATTCTGCAAAACTCAGTTCTTTAATTCTACTCCTTCCTTCCCCCCACAGACTCCCTTCAGAAGAAGTTGGAGGGTTTATCGGCTTCCTGATCTTAGCTTTAGAAATGATAATGTTTATTTTGTGTAGAAAAGAATCAGTTGCTTTTTGTCTATTGCTTAGAAATATTTGCAAGATAGGCTAAGAGGCAATGTAAGTGGCTATGGAGAATCTGTGCTAACAGTGTGGAAAGCAGTCTTTGTAATGGAAAGCAGTCTTTGTCATTTTTCACTGCTCCTTTTTAGTTTTCTAGCTTTCACGTAGAAAAAAAACCCACCCAAATTGCTGGCATACAACTTTCCCTGGCCACATGCGTAGTATTTATTGCCAAAAATTTTGAAAATATTATTCTGTAGTCTATTGATCATGAGTAATCAGGCACTTGTAAGAGCATATGTATTACTAAGACAGAGATTGCGAACACGCTTATTACTAATTAAGTTTATTCTAAGGTTAAGGGGCATAATAACTACACACCAGTGAACATGGTCTTAGGAACACATTTTTGAGCATCTCGCATGAAATTATCAATTGATTCTATACTATAATCATTGAAGACTTTTAATAAAAGCAAACATAAATAGTATAATAGGATTCCTTTGTGTCTTTATAAATGGATATTAATGATGAAGAGATGATCAGAAACTGATACTTTGCCACATTCTCTAATAAAAAATGAATCAAATAATGGATTCTGCATATAATTCTAAATATTAACTAGGTGCTTATGTTACATTATAGTGGAGTTTTCTTTAAACCCTTTTTTTAAAGTGTAGTATTAAAAATCAAGATCCTGGTACTGTACTTTAATAAGAGATGCTTTCATTCTATAGTATTGCTTTCTCTTTTGTTACAATTTTTTTTTTAGCACAGAATATCTTTACAGATCAGTAAATTAGCATGTCACACAGATGACTTAATCCATATACATAAATTTTCTTCTTCCTCTGAGCAACAGCTTGTCAACAATTTTCAGGGTGGTTAATGCAACTATTTAGGACATATTAGAACATGATAGTTCCTTGCTGCATAAAAATCAAAGGACAAACTTCTTGTACAGAATGGTAATAGTTCATACAAATACATACTTCAGAGAAGATTTTCCATCAATAAATGCTAATTCATGTACATACTGTCAGAACTTCTGTGGGGCTACTCTTTTGGACAAAGCTCACAAATCTATGATTCTTCAAATTTAGGCTAATTTTTGAACTGTATTTTTGATGGATTTCATCTGAGCCTTCATGGGAGGAAGGGCTCTTTAGGACTAGAAGTAGAAGCGCAAAATCTGTCAACATGAAGCTTCTGGAGTCATTAGCCAGGAGGGTAGGTAAGTTTAGTTTATGAAACTTTCCTGGGACAAGGATTCAGACTGTATAGCGAGCTAGATTTTCTCACCTGGTTGTAAGGTTTTGCCTGGCACATTATGTCTCAGAAGCTTTGTTCTATGGGGTTAATTCACTAGATAGTACCTGGTATGGAGTTGTTGCTCTTGCAGAAGTGGGGGTGCTCTAGGGCTAGGACAGATGATAGCCCTGTCTTTACTGTCCATTCTGCAGAACACCAGGACAAACTGTTTCAGCATTATGTCCTGTATAACCTGTTTAAACATCTGATTTTTGCTTTCTGCCTTTGTAGATAGACAGGCTCAGTTTGTTCTGTGTTCTGTATATTCGTAAAATAAGTTTGCAAGATAGACTCTCTTCCAGCTGTCAAGACTCCTGTTATCTCCTCAAATCCATTGGCAAATGGAGCACCAAACCCAACTTTTCAGGACAAATGTGGCTTCGTGTCCCTAAGTGAGCTATTTCTCTTGCTAATGTATCTAAAATTCAAGTCTTGCCTCCCTTTCTGGGAAGAGAAAGGTGTGATAAAGGTGCACTGAGGAATGTGGACCTTATTACATATTTTTCATTTTCAGGAAACCTGTGGAGCAAGTTGGGAGAATTTTGGCCTCAGTGACCTCAGAATAACGATGATCCTTTGCTCCTCTCATTATTTTTATTCAGTCCATCTGTGATCCTATTTCCAATTATCTGATCCTAAAACAGGAGAGAGAAAAGTTTGTAGGTGGAAGCATCTAGATAAGTCCTCAGAGATACGAGATGTCTTCTGTAGATACTGCTTCAGTGATGTTTCCAGGCATTTTGTAACGTGCTGGATTTCTTGCTATTTCAATGTTGGGATATGAAAACCTTTGCATTCCATCCATTTTCACAGCTGAAAAATCAGTTTTTTGGCATTTATCTCTTTCCTTACTATTGTTTTGTTTTGTTTCCTTTCTCCCTCCCCCCCCTTCTGTAGGGTCATATATGATAGTGATTTCCTCAGACCACGACCCTGGAGAAAAGACGCGACTCCAGCTTCCAACGATGAAAGAAAATGATACTCACTGCATCGATTTCAGCTACCTTCTGTACAGCAAGAATGGAGCAAACCCGGGCACTTTGAATATCCTGGTTAGGGTGAACAAAGGGCCGCTGGCTAACCCCATCTGGAACGTCACCAGCTCCACTGGCAAAGACTGGCTTCGAGCGGAGTTGGCTGTCAGCACTTTCTGGCCCAACGAGTATCAGGTAAGCTTGCAATAAAATCTCACTGCTCTATAATGTTTACGACAAGGTCCTGTACAGTTTGTGTTCGTTTTGGTCTGTTCTGATAGAGTATCTTCCCAGTGTCCATTCCGAATAAATAATTATTTGGGGATGGGTATTTTTTTTTTATAGGAGATGATCGTTCAAAGTTATCTGTTACTCTCTAATAGGAAAAAAATAAGCTGGAAACAAGCCTCATTAAAAGAAATGGTAAGGTTAAAGTCCAGGAACATCAAAAATTATAAACTCCCAGAAATAAATTGCCTGTGCAACTGTAATTTGTACCTGTCTTCCCTCCTCTTTTGGATGTGCCTGTGTTACTGTGTCTAATTACATGACCGTAAACTGTGGTTCTTTCCACATGACATTTGCTTCATTTGCTGTGCAGGCGGAGTGGTGCTCACCTAATGAGCAGCTGCTCAGGACGTGCTTTTCTCCTGTTTGCTCGCTATGGGACAAAACCACCTGCAGCTTAGGGCTGTTGTTTAGAGAGAAAAATCATCTTGTTATTACTAGATGCTGTTATTTGATTTGTTTGATTAACCTGAGAAAGTACCTGCAGCTGTTTTGCTCAGTGGGTATTTGATGTGAAGGATGAATCTCATACACAGGCATTTTTGTCCTGGCTTGTAGGAGGGGGAAGAGTTGGATTGCACTCATCGGCGTTGTTACACCATGAGGTTGTATGTCACCGCTGTATGTAGTGCTTACAGGCCCCTGTCCAAGGATGTTTCAGGTCGTTAGTGCTCTTGCAAACAGTTGGGATGTCCGGACTAGTTAGCAAATGAAGCAGAGTGGCCTCTTTATTAATGGTTTTCTTGAATAGTGGTATTGTAGGAATGTTTCTTAAAGTGCCTTTTCTAAAGCTCTTTGCAATTGGGCACCATCCAAATAATCTCCATAAAAAACAAGCATCAGTGCAAGCAGCCTTACTTATAGGTGGAAACTGGTGTAATTTACTATCATTTTATGTTTTTCCTCAGTTTTTGCTTCCCTGTTTTTAATATTTGTATTTATAAAGGAATTTAATCTATCAGTGACATTGAAACTGGGTGAAATTTGATTTAAAGTTCTGAAACCTGGTTTCATAAAGCTTGGCTTCTAAGGAGGTGTTTTATTAACCCTTTTATGTTGCTAGAAAGTAGGTTTTGGTGCGCTTAAAAACCAGGAGCCTTTTATAGCAGTATAGTAGTAATCAAGTATAGCAGTATTATATGCAGTAAATCAGGTTTCTGCTGACAGATGGCCAGGCTTGACAATGAGATTGGTGGTTGGGGCCTTATCTTAGCAACATGGCCATTTTTCACTTACGTTATAGCCTTCACATTATCTCTCTATAGGCTGCGATTAAATTCATTCTTTCCCTTGCTCGGTTATCCAGCAGAATATTGAAATAATGTGTAACACAGTTTATTTTTAAATTAAAAATAAATCTGGAATAGGACTGGAGAACTGTTAATGCAACCTGCTGTGATTTATGTACGACTTGCACAATTGCTTTTATCAACAGGAGAGGAAACCTGCGTGCTGTCCATGCACGCCTGCTTGTTTGCATGAACAGGGTTGGTGTTTTTGTGGTTTTAAGTGGGTGGTTCTTTGAGGTCTCAAAGACAACATTGCTCTTCATTGTTCCTTTTGTTTGTTTGTTTGTTTGTTTTGTGTTGGTTTTTTTTTTTTTTTTGAGTTATTCTTTGGCATGGAAGTCTTTTTTAAATTTTTCTCATAGGAGTTCTTTGCTCTAGTAGGGCTCTAGCTTGTGATTTTGGTACTTTGATCTATCTGTCAGTCCATGAGTTTAGGTAGCGCTGAAGGGAAATGTGCATTGGTTATTATAATGTGGTGGAAGAGGTTCTTTACTAACCCAGGAATTGGATCTCTGCCTGTACAAGCAAGGTCACTGCTAAAGATCACTGCGGAGCACAACTGTTTGCATGTACTTTGTTAATCAGGTCAACTTCATTGCCATTTCCTTCGCTTTTAAGGAGGGAAGAGAATAGAGATTAGCAGGGGCTGAATAGCACAGGTTACATTACAAGGAAGTCTCATATGGTGACTTGGAAGTTAGCAGGATGGCTGTTAATAGTACTAATAAAGCGCTGCACCTTGGCTAATTAGCTCCTAAACGGCATTTCGGTGCTCTGCTGTGCTGGTTGAAGCTTTATTGCTTCCTGTTCAAAACTTGCACAGTGGTTTTGCATGTCACTGGTCAGCAGCATAGATACAGCTTTTGCATTTTTGGATGGGCTTGACGTTTCTTTTTACTCACTATATCTACATATCTATCTATCTATAAAAATAATCTATTTACTTGCCTTTCTTAAACTATTCTGTTGTGGCGTTTTTTTGTTTGTTTCTTTCTTTTACTACTTTGTTTTCTGACAAAATACAGTATGCTTTATTACACTAGCTTTACTGGATCAAACCGAACTTTTCTTTAGCTTCGTATCCCGTCTCTGAGGGCAGATAACAGTGGAAGCTTGTAGAAGAGTTCACGTACAGGACAAACTCCTGGTCACACCTCCCCCAGAATACACTTCCAGCCTTAAGCCTCTCTGTGGTTCAAGAACTTTAAGAAGCGAGGTAATGCCTTTCTACGCTCCTGTTAGTCCACGGGAGCTTTTTGCGCTGGTTTAAGCTTCTCCTGTCTAGAGTGTATGACGTGAAATTCTAATGTTAATTACACATTAGGGCCATTCCTGTGGGTTTCTCCAAGCATGGGGCCTGTGATTCCTCAGTTGTCATATTTTGCACTCAGGAAGTTTCAGCAGCCCTGCAATGATACGGTCTGTCTTCTCTCTCCCGCTAGCAAGGCATCTGCATCTCCTCTTCTGTTTGTTTAACATGTGGATGAACTGTCGAGGAAAAGGGTTTGGATAGAGAGAATCCCTTGGGATCGAGGACCTGATTTGATTTTGGTCCTTGTTAGTTCTGGAATCTTTTTTTATCACTCCGTTGGAAATATGCCACCTTTGACCTGCCTAAAGTTTGCTTCAAAGGAAAAATATTTTGGGATTTTTGTTGTCTAAACTTTGTAGCTGTTTGGGAGTTTTGTCTTTTTGTTGTCTATGTCGGTTACTACTGTGATTCATTAATTTGTTTTAGTTAAGGTGTTTATTCCTGTCTGGATGCGTTGTTTTGTCTAATGCTCCTGTTCATTTCCCCAAGTTCTCTCCTGCTTTGCACAGTAGGCATTACCCGACTGCTGCGGGCTGTCTCTTCCTTTCTGCTTCTGTCACCGGCGTTTTTCCACTTCTCTTCCCTTGCCAACTGTGTCATACTTTTTGAATTTTTTTTGTGTGTGTGTGTGGTCATTTTGTTTGTTTTTGCACACTGTCCCCCAAAAGTCCTTTGTTTCCTACTTCTTGTTTCCGCTCCCCCCCCGCAAATTAATTTTGCTCCTACTGGGTCACATCCTTTGCTCAATCACATGAGGTCCACTTTACAAGGTGAACCATGGACTTTCCAGTTTTGGTTTTATATAACATCTCTCTGTTTTTTGTAACCTTTGATCAGAAAACTGATAAAGAAACTCTTGACTTGGAACCATAAATCTCAAACTTGTAAAAAATGGATTAATTGGTTTCTTTATGGTTCTTTAAAACTTCATTTACAGTAATAGGGCTCTGTAGTTTAACAAAGAGGCTGGCTGGGATACCTGTTTGCTAGGAGTGGTGGCTACACTTGGAAGTATAGCTAGCAAGCAAAAATATTGAACTGCACCAAGCAGAAGTTCTTTTATCAGTTCAGGAAGACTAATGATGTGTGACCATTTAAAAAAGCGGTGAAAACTCTAGAAAACCAAATCATTTTCTTCCTGAATTGTGAATTCTGATTTGGATAATGAATCTGTTACTTATTTTAACATCGATGATTTATAGGATTTGTAAAAGTTTAAAAAGCTCAAAGATCTTGCAAAGTTTATTTTCCTTTCTGATCCTAAAAGGTCTTGAAACTATAATAGAATTCTTACGGGAGGATGGCAGATTGATTGAAGATTCACTAATAGTGTTGGGCCATATGCCAGGTAAGGTAGGAAACACATTTCTTGTGAAATACAAGAATTTGTTGCCTTTTTGGATATCAGATGACTATACTAAACTTTCAGACATGTGAGACTGTAAGCCAGCTGCATGCAGAAAAGTTTGGGAAAGCAGGGAATTTGATTTGCTTTAGTCAGCTGGTACAGCTAAGAAAGGAAAGCAACAAGTGAAACGCTAGTGGGAAGTATAGAAGTATGTACAGCCTCTGTGAACTGCATAGAACTGAGTCACAGGCCAATTCCTATTTATAAGATGGAAATCCTTGATTCTGTATGATTTGTAGCCTTGGAAGCGCTATGTAGCATCCAGAAAATCCAAAGAAGCTCTGAGAAAGCATTCCAAAGGACTAATATTTTTAAGGGATTTTATTTAAAATATATTGGAATGCAGAAAATGACTTAAAATCATATCCAAGACATACTGGATTAGTAAAGCTTGGGAATAGTGTAATTTGATTGACTAAATAGATAAGAACTGAATATAGAAAATGTTATATTTGAACATTCTAAGAAAAACTGATAAGCGGCCAGTCAGTTGATGTTGGAACTTGCTGTAAGTCTTGGATGTTGAGTTGCGAGACCATGAACATCATCTTGTGGCAATCTTGACATGAGCAAGAGTTCAGCGCCAGAGGAGAGCGGTTTTGTAGCCATGATTGAGAGGCAGGCTAAATTTCTCTGGCCTAGAAAAAGACACAGTTCAGGGCAATGTGATAAAGATCTGTAAAACCATGGCTGGCATGAAGGGGAATCCTCTTCCAGTTTAAGAACTGGGGGTCTTTTTGATCTGGCGAGGGAACCGGGCTGAATAGAAGCAAACGGAGGTGGGTCACACAGTAGGCTGTAGACCCACCACAGTCTGTGTCAGAAGTATCTGTTCTGGATGCCAAGAGGAGTATGTAGGCTTAAGGAGATGGTTGGGCAAGTTCTTGAAAGAGAACTA